ACATCAAAAACTGAGTCCCGAGCAGAAAGTTATGCCCAAAACAAGTTTGGCGCAAACTAGGGCCAAAAACCCTGAAACTGGAAAACATCGACCAGGAGGAAATTCCAAGAGTACACAACTCGACGAAATGTGAAAATGAATTCCGTGCGAGGATCCAGGCTCAAAATAAGACATTTTGCAATAACTTTCATTAATTGCACAATGGCCCCTCCAAAAAATGAAAACTGCACTTATGGCCTAGAATGAAAATATCTTCCAAAAATATTTTCTTAAAAACCCCTCAAATAAAATATCTTCAAAAGATATTTACGAAAAACACCCCAAGAGAAGAAAATAATTTCAAAGAACTTTGCATCCATGCCCCTATGGACACCGGGAGCAACCAGAGTACTTTCTTGCGAAAGTAAAGATACGTATTTCGTGGAAACCACTCAAGATGGAAATACATGAAGTCAAAAACCAACTCTGAACACAAGAAGTGTGGTTACGCCAACAAAGTGTCAAACGAAAAAAAGACAAAATAGGGAAAATGACGAAATAGGGAAAATGACGAAAAGTGAATAGTGTCAAAAAACGAAAAATGCGGAAACGATTCGGTCCTCAAATGAAGTTATCAATCCACAGAAAAGAGTCTCGGAAATCACTCCAGAGCACTTAAGACGACACTAAGCGAAGAGGAACTGAACTCAGAAAGGAAAGACAACGGAAAAAAATATCCGTGAAAATCCGAGTCATTACAGTATTGATGTTATTTGTCACGACTGCGATGTCCTTGGTGGTATTCTTGCTCTTAAGTCTAAATCTTGTCAGAAGTCATTGAATCTAACGATGGGTTTGTTGAGGATATGATGCAGGAGAAAGAGATGAGAGACAGAGAATGTCCCACTGGGTGTGCCAAAAATTTGTATGTAAATTTTGTATCTGCAAATTAAAGAACAAAATAGGGAACAAAAAATCATTTATTAATTTATGAAAATTCGAGTACAATCCTCTGAGATATTCTTTATAAAATAAAGAAAATATCCTCTAATTCGATCTCCTTTGTTGCTTAGATCCTAGGGCTGTTGAAGCTTGATCTTAAATTAGGCTGTTGATAATCTTCTTCAAGTATTTATAGTTGAGGAAGACCGCCAATGATTTCTAATCGAAGGTTGATGAAGCTTAATCTCGAATAAGGTTGTTTAGTGATTCTTTGAACTTGTTGAATCACGGAGAAAGAACAACACGATTTTGATGTGCTTGTTATTTTTTGTTGAATTTAATGAAGAACGACACGATTTTGGATGTGTTTGTTATTCTTCGTCTTTAGAGAATTTATTAAATTTGTGGAAGAACGACATGACTTTGGATGTGTTTGTTGTTCTTCACCTTCAGAAGATTGTTGTTAAATTTGTGGAAGAACGACACGACTTTGGTTGTGCTTGTTTCTCTTCTTCAAAGCTTGGGTGTTGGGGATGAATGTTGGCAGAACTTTTGTATTTATTCTGGAATTCTGGACTTCAGAATTTTTTGATCCTTCTGGATTTCTCTAAATTTATGGACTTTCTGGATTTATCTGAATTTCTAGACTTCTAGGTCTCTGAATTTCTGGACTTTTGGGGTCTCTGAATTTCTAGACCTCTTCCTCCTTCCTCCATGCCTCTATTATTTAGACAAAAACTCATGAAATTTTAATGTCTTCAATGCTCTACTTGAAATGGAGGTTTCTTTGTATTGTCTTTGGTTTCTCTTATTTTATTTTTTCCGAAATGTCAAGAAAATATATTTATATAGAGGGTAAATACGTAAATGTACATAGAAGATTGGGCCAAAAAAAAAGGACATATGGGCCCAACAAAATTGAACCTACATATACAAATAACTAGCCCAACAAACCAATGCGCCAAACACCAAGAACTAAACAACAATTCAAAAACCAAATTACCATAACAAACAGAAGAGCTTGTAATTGTTTGAAATGGCAATCTAGCACTTTGGTTTCTCATTTTGTGAGATCATAGTAATTTTCAAGGGAAGTCAGAGTAATAAACCTTAAACTCTCTATCGGTGTGATATTTACCCAAATTTAAGGAAAGATGGGTGCAATTTACCTTTTTTATCACTTGAATTGTAGTTGGGGTGTGAAAAGGGGGAATGGATCATGGTTGTGAAGGGGCCACATAACCAATTTAATTAACTAATGGATACGACATCGTTTGACTAAAAATGCATTTTACGATTCTTTCTCATCAAACTTTCACTACAAAAGCAAGATTCGCAGTTCCTACCAAAATTGTTGTTGGCCTGATTGGAGAGGTATATTGTATCCACCAATGAATAATTGAATACTGTTAATTACTAGCCCTCTTAAAATTGGTTCCACATAAAATGGATATTTGGAAATTATAGTTGAAAATAATTTAAGGGTTTGTGTAAAAATTTGCAAATTTGGGTATAATATTTTTTTTTTTAGAATTTGTGAATAAGAATATAGATTTCAATGAATAGGTGATAATATTATATATGTGTGTATGTGTGTGTGTGTGTGTCTGTGTATGATTCAACTAACCTAGATGTTGCAGTAGGATAAAACTCTGGAAGATAGAGAAAATCAAAATAACCTTTAAGTTATTTGATGTAGTGAGATCTTAAAATACTTTTTTAACTTAGAAAAATCTGTGAAATCTTCAATTGTAGTCGATAAAGATTGATGATAATGAGGGAAATCGAAAAAGAGAAGCCTAACGTAATGGCATTTTTAGTCAAACGATATTGTATTCATTAGTTAATTAAATTATTGATGTGGCGCCTTAACAATCATATGATTAAATATTTGTAAATGTTTGAAGACAAATTTCTTTGTAGAGGATCCATTCCCGTGAAATGGCTCCCTACAAGTGACTTCCTTGTGCTTATGCTTTTGACCAAAAAGATAATGAATTGTTTTTTTAAAAAACAAAGAAAGTTCATCTTTTCGATAAAAAGTTCCATTTTCCAAATGAAAGAGTCAGAGTCAAAGTTTAAACATTCTTATTCTAATTTTTCAATTATTATTAATATATTTTTTTATAATTTTAAATCAGAAAACAAAAATGAAAAAAATATTTGTTCATTATATTAAAAATAAAAGCAAGTACTACCACACCCCTTGAAGTTTGACAAAATGACATATAAATGAAAGTTATCCATTTTTTTGGACAAACACACCCCTTCAAGTTTGAAAAATAGACAAAGAGACATCTGACAATGATGAATTGACTTTATTACCTTTTGATATAAAATTGATATTTTAATTGCCTTAAATGCCCTTAGATTAAACCCAAACCCAAACCTTTATTCTTTTCTCTTTGTATATATATATACACACATACATTACATATTCGCCGCCGCCCATCGCCAACTGCCGCCGTCGCCGCCAGCCACACAATCCCAATCATCAATTGCGTCCACCATCCACACAATCATCGCCTCTTCAACTCACCACCAATCCATGGCCTCTCCCTTAAACCCAGATTTTTTTTTTTTTTTTTTTTTTTCTTTTTTCCTCCACCAATTCTCCTCTCTCTCATCTGTCATTTCTTCGTTCTCTCCCTTCCTCCTCTTACCGTCCCCAACCACAACCGCCATTAATTCCACCAAACCACCCTTAACAGTATTCTTCTCAAGGAGATCACTGAGAACTGCAAACAACTGGACTCGCTCCGCCAGGAAAATAGGTCTTTGGAATCGGAGCTAACACGGTTTGAAACGGAAAAGGGGTCTTACAGGGCGAGTTAACTCAGTTGCAGGACGATATAGCACGACTGGAGTTGGAGAGGAACTTGGTTTCTAAATTTGTTTCTGTGTATGTCAATCAACAGGTTGAAGTGATTGTGGAGGAGAGAAATGGGTTTGTGAGAGAAAGAGCAGAGATAGAGGGGAGATTGCAGAAACTAGAGAGAGAAATGAGGGAAGTTGTGAGGGAGAAGAGTGGGATTGAGAAGGGAAAGAGAGAGGAGAGTCTGAAATTGGGTTGTTGGAAAAGAAATTGAGCAAGCTTCTTATTAAAATTGAAAAAGAAAGAGACGTAACCAAACATTTGTGTCAAGAGAGGGATGTGGTGGGGACTGAAATTGATGTTCAAATTGAGGAAACAAATGGGTTGAAAGCAAAACTTGTTGAGATAGTGAAGAGAGGAAAATTCAAGAAGAGTTCAGAAACTAGAGAGAGAGAGTATAATGGCCTAGTGGTGGAAAAAGAAGAGATAGAAAGAAGGATTGAATCGATGACAAGGGACATATCCCTGTGTGTATATATATATATATATATATATATATATATATATGTTAGCAGATAGAGAGAGAGGCGTAGATCGTGTGATAGGAAGAGAGAGAAGAGAAAAAATGAATAAAGAATTCTTGTGTCATTTTACATGATCCGATATTTTGTAATATATTTAAATTTAATATGGAGGGGTAATTTTGTCTTCTCATATGATTTAAAATTTTGTTTGGATGAAATTTCAGAAAGGGACGTCATTGTTAAAAAAAATGAGTAATTTTTATTTGTTTGCAACTCAAAGGATGCAACTGTACTCTATCCTAAAAATAAAAAACTATGAAATTTAATTGAAAAAAAAATGATTCGAAACTCCTTGATTTTTTCATCTTCCACCCATATCTCCTCTTTCTCTCTCTAGAAAAGGTTGGAGAAAAAAAGAACAAAAAGGGTTTAGAATATATATGGAATGCTTTGAAAACCAGTGTGGGTTTGATTGGGTAAGAGCAGATCTAGAGTAATAATAATAGTAATAGGAAATTTGGAGAGAGAATGACAACACCTTGTTTGAGGCCATTGTTGCCTCTTCTTCTCTGCTTTAATTTTGCCTTTAAGATTTCCCCAACTCCTCCCTATTTAATCGCCTTTCACATATTATATGCTCTCTCCATAGTTCATACTAGTCAACTATAAATAGTAAAATCTAGAAACAACTTGAAAGAAGTTACACTTAAAACGTTGTTACAATCTAATAATGCAAGTAACTAGACATGAGTAGAACCTCCTCCTTGATGGTGCAGCATAGCATAAATCTCATCGCCATCTTCCATTTGCAGCTGATCAGGAGTCTGCTTTTCTCCAACACGACGGCCTTCAAATAGGAATACAGTAGTCTCGAAATCCACTGATTGCCGATCACAGTAAGCATCCATCAGCTTCTTCAGTTTTGTGCGTCTCTTGATCTTGAAGAACACTTGGATCCCATCCTGCCCATTCACCTTCACATTTATGTCATCCGCCGATTCATCATCATCGCTGCCTTTCTTCTTCTTCTCTTTCTCCTGCTTCTTAACACCGGACGACATTATTAATTCACCGATACCTTTCTCTCTCTATCTCTGTATGTGTGCTCGTGGGTCTCTCCAATGGAGTTCCTAGATACTTGAAATACCTAACTCATTATGAATTCTGCTGCTTAAAGATACCCATCGATTGCACCCAGATTTCATCGATTGTGATGCAACCACTTTTAAGTAGAGTATTTTTTAAAAAATGGATTAAAGATGGCATTTTTCTTGTACATTCCTTAATAAAAAGGCAGGTTGTTCTTGCATAAAAGAGGGTTGTGTTTTTATTTTTATTTATTTATTTATTTTTGGGACAAACACATACTTTAATGTTAAAATTCATATTAGAATCATCTTATATGAATTATGAAAAATTATTAAATGCTCTTGGGATTAATAATCTTGATCAATCGTGTGTTGATACATAAGAAGAAAACAAATGAATTGAAATTGACGTGAAGTTTGCACATATACTTTATGTATCAAAACATGATTGGCCTCACATGCTATAATAATTTTTTATTAATTACTTGATCTTAGATATTTTTTTCAAGACAATAATGTTAGAATGTTAGAAGGTTTGTTGTTTATACATAGGGAAGCGGGAAAGTACAAGGCTTGAACACGAGTTTTTGAATATAAGAAGTAATTCAACCATTCAGAGAACACGAAATTTGCCTTAATTTTAATAGGATTTCAGGAAAAATCAAATTAATTTATAATTATTTAAATTCATATCTGATCTGAATTCATGACAGCTTTTTTTTATTTAAATAAAGATCTATATTCAACCTGTTCTAAATTTAGATCCAACGCTAAAATCGCTATAAATGGTATTCAAATTAGATTAATTAAATCTTAGGTCAAACCCACTCAGGTGCTAATTTTTTAAAGTAAATTTAAATATAGGAAAATGATATTATTAGTGATAGAAAAATGATATATTTTTAATGCCTAATTAAAAAGTATAGTAATTTCCTAAAATAATTACTCCTATCATTCAATTAGGCATAAGATTAGATTCTAATATTATATTTAAAAGTGAGTAAGTGTAATGGGTGGACGTTTATCCATTTATTCAAAAGTTTAAGTTATTAAGTAATGTTTTATACCCACTCATTTATACCCATTTCACTTTTCATCCGGATCTAATGTGGGACAAATACCCCTTGTAACATTCTTCTCTACTCGAACTCGCAACGTCCTTGTTGCGGTCAGGCCACCCAAGTTACCCAGGTGGCTCATCCGGATGCTTTCAGGGCCGGGTACTTGGCGTGGCACCGGATCAAGGACTGAATGTGGCTTTGATACCAACTATAATAGGTGGACGCTTGTCTATTTACTCAAAATTTTAAGTTGTTAGATAGTGCTGCATACTCACCCATTTATACCCCTTTCACTTTCCATCCAGATTCGATATAGGACAAATATCCCTTATAACAATAAAGGTAGAACAATGCCGTTGGGATCACTTAAATGACTTTTGCTTGTTATCAAAATTTCCAGGCAAAATCTTGTACTCTATTTGCTAACTTCATAGAACATATCTTCACAATTTTTACAATATAAAGGTAAGAAAATAATAAGAAGGAACAAAAAGATTTAACATTATGAGTAATCCCATCAAATAAACATCTTTCTTTTTTCTTTCTCCAAGACTAACCATCTAGTACATACATGCTATTAATGAAATGGTGAGCCAAATATATTTGTATTATAAATAAATATGTATGTATGTGTATATGTGTGTATACGGGTCAAGTGCAGAAAATGCCCCTAAAGTATGCTTATATTGCATGTCACACCCCTCATGTGCAAAAAATACCTCTAAAGGTTCAATTTGGTACAAATAGGTCCCTCTCACAAAATTAAATTCTAAGTTGACTAAATTACCTTTACTGAACTATTTTATAAAATATATAAAAATAAATAATTTTGTAAAATGACCGAAAATGACATTATTAGAGGATGCCCCCTCATGTGCAAAAAACACCCCTAAAGTTTCAATTTGGTGCAAATAGATCCCTCTATCAAATTTAAATCATAAGTTGACTAAATTACCCTTACTGACCATTTTATAAAAAAATATAAAAATAAGTAATTTTGTAAAATGACCAAAAAAGACACTATTGAGGGACGCCGACAATGGACAACTAAAGATAAAAACAGAAAAGAAAAGTATAAATGAAAAGTAAAGATAAAAAAGAAAAATAAAAAATGAAAATAAAGAAAACAAATCGACTCCAAACTTCGAAAACCAGTGTACACTAATATTGGGAATTTTTTTTTTTTTTTTTTTGTAACAGTATTTGTAAAAAAAAGGAAAAAAATTAGTAGAAAATGGTAAACTGAAATTTCAAAAAATTTAAATTCTTGTTCTACAAATTCTTAAAGTTTTTTTTGTTTTTTTTAAAAAAAGTTTAGAGATATATATAGAGAAAAAAGTTTCCACAAAAAAAAAAAAAAAAAAAAAAAAATTGTGCACATAACACCCCTATATTATGAGATTAGTAGCATATATACCCCCTTGGGCATTTTCAGAAGAGTAAAAGGGCAAAATGAGCATTACAACACTAATTTATGTGAGATTTCTAATTGTGGAGTATTTTTGCACAATGTGAAAAGATTAGGGGTATTTTTGCACACTTTTTCAAATAGGGGATAAAAGTGCTACACGGAGTATACTTTATGGCTATTTTTTGCACTTGTCCCATATATACACATACATTAATAAGAGGCTGTGTTACAAGCAGTAAACAACACATCCACAAATTGGAGCCACTGTGTGGAGGGAAATTTTCCCACCAATCACAAGACACCACATGTCAATTAAAAAGAAAGTCCCAACACTGATATATTGGGCCAATAGACCAATACTCAACCAAGCAACTAGTAGTCCAGAAAGAAGACACTGAACATCAAGTCAGCCCGAACAAAGGAAGTAAAGCCCAGCAAGCCCAACCTAAAGTCAACACACTAGAAGTAACACTCGTCATAAAAGAAAATGACAAAGAATCAGGAGGGATCAATGCCCATATATGAAACAGTCGATGATGGTCCCATAAAAATCTCTTTGTAAAAAGAAAGTACACACTGAACATCAAGTCAAGCCGAACAGAGGAAGCAAAGCCCAGCAAGCCCAACCCAAAGTCAACACACTATAAATAACACTCGTCATAAAAGAAAATCACAAAGAATCAGGAGGGATCAATGCCCATATACGAAATAGTCAATAACAGTCCCATAAAAATCTCTTTATAAGAATATAAATAAAGGGGAAAGACCAAATGAAAGGCAAAGTTCTTTTTGCCTGTGTTCTTCCATAATCTTATCGCTCTTATTTCATTATTCTTCGGTTATTTGACTTCTCCCTTTCGAGTAGTCTTGTATTGAGTGTTTGGATGTTTAAATCCTCAAATTAGACCTTAGTGTTCGGTTTGAGATTTTTTGCACCTACACTTTTTCACCTTTTGTGGGAAGTTCTACAAAAAAAAATCCTCTCACTATCACTTTACATGTGACATCACTACGGAATGGTGACAGGGTCAGATGTCATTCAATTACAGCAATTGGAAATCATACAGAAAATGTGTGAGGAGATGTAGGCACAATTTGACACTATATGTCGAGCCAATGAAGCCAACGTTGAATAGATCAACACTTTAAGGCAAGCCAATGAGGCTAGCACAACAAAGATCAATGCTTTGTGTCAAGAGAACAAGGAGCTTTAGGTTACCACCCGGTAATCCAATCTACGTCCCTCAGTGGAACATTACCCAGCCCGCTCAGTCCTCAACCTGAGCATTAGAATGAATGGTTAAACCCACCACCAGCGCCACAGGTCCAAGGACTCAACGATCCTCCTTAGCAGCCGAGGGCACCATGATAGCCACTAAATCTCAACGTGCTATATGTTGCCCTAGAGCAACACGACAGAGACGATACAACAAGTCAATCCCGTGCCATGGCGGACTCCATATTGGGAGGACCGCGATTAACTCAGACCAAAGCCTTAGAAGATCATGCCGAATAAGGAAGAAGGAATACTTGGGCCCTAGACGAGAATCACCAATTGTAATACCCCTAGTTTTCAAAAGGACAAAATGGGAATTTAATTTTGCATTTTGGTTTTTATTTTTTTATTTTTTTTTATTTGATTATATGACTTAGGTGTTTAAATTGATTGTTTTATGTGGGAACTTTATTTTATTTATATTTGCTCAGTTGCTTAATTATTATTTATGTGTTTAATTTAATTATTGAATTGAAATTGTTTTAATTTAAATTATCTGATTAGTTTGTGGTTTTAACTGTAATTATTTTATTTGTGAGTTAATTTAATTATTTGATTAATTTATGGTTTAAATGGATTATTTTGTTTTTGGTTTTATATAGAGTGTAAATTTAGGGTTTTATTTTGTGAGTTTTAGCCGTCATATGTTAGGATTGGAAATAGGGTTAGGGTGTTATAGACGGCTATATATATGTGTGTTCTTTTACGTCTGTTAAAAAAAAAACCCTATTCACGAAATAGTATTTTTAGAGGAAAACAGAGAGAGTTTCGAAATATAATCTGGGAGGCTAAAGGAGGAAGACTGGAGGAAGAACAGAGGGTTGCTTCTGGATGGAACTGTGAGCAGAGCAGAGGGGAAACAGACTTAGAGAATCCTGAAACTTAAACTTAGAGACGACGCTTAAGGTTTCACACCGAAATCTCAAGGCAAGTTTCAGTCTATTCTTTCCTGTAAACTTGTGTTCTGTGCATTCTAAATAGACTCTAGGACGTTAATTAAACATTAAAAATGGATGTGTTACGCATAATTAAATCAAACTGTAATCCGTGGATTGCCTTTGTTTAAACTGTAACTGGTTTGGTCTTAAAACTGTTCCGAGTGTGTTAAGTTTTTGTTAATCAATTCATAAGGGTTTTAAAGAGTTTCTAGGACTATTTGGATTTAAAGTAGACCCTAAGAAGTTTAAAAATAATTCGGACAGAGGCTTGGAATTTTGCCGGTTTT